TACCCATGTCATGTAGCTCACAATAGTCTGTAACTCTGGTTCAAGGGGGATATGACGCTCTCTTCTGGCTTCTGAGAGCACCCACACTCATGTACCCACACACACACACACAATTTTTAAAAATCTTTTTTGGGGGGTCTTTTGGAGACAGGATTGCCCTGTAGCCTCAGCTAGCCTGGAACAGGCTGGCCTTGAAGTCATAGAGATCTACCTGCCTCTGCCTCCTGAGCACTGGGATTAAAGACATGTGCCACCACCCTGGCACTTTTGAAAAAAGTGTGAGAAATTATCCCTTAAAATGCTCCACTTGGTGCTAGGTACCGTTGGAAGCAGTGGGCCCTAGTGGCTGCCCTCAGGGGGCAGCAGGCACACTGAGCAGGTTGCTAAGGGAGGAGAGAAGGGGCTTTCTTCCCCACATAAGAATGTCTGTGAGACTACCGCAAACCTCGCTCAGGTGAGAAAGGAATGTTGCAACCACGTTACAGGACATGTTCTACACTGCAGACAGTGAGAACCCAGGGCTACAGGAGCATTCCCCGACCCTGCTGCCCTGCCTTGGGCCCACAGCATCCTCTGTGGTTCTGGAGAAGGACACAGAGAAATAGAAGTAATAATGCCTTGCAGTTCCGGGAAGGTTCAAAGAGAGCACCAGGCCGGATGGATGTGGCCTCAGTCCTGACACTGATGGTGCTCACTCAATGCCCCTTCTTCCTCTGGGACCCACACCTGCGGCAGGCAGCCCCATACTGAGCCCTCAGGCCAGGTGACACTGAGGATGCGAAAAAATAATAACTGTATTTTCAAAAGGAAGCAGAAGCACGATGCACCTTGTCTCTGATTTGCCACTTCTCCTAGGTTGAAGTACAGCACCCCCTCTACTTACGTACACCCCCTCCCCTTGCCCTCTTCCCTCAGACAGGGTCTCATGTGACCCAGGCAGCTTTTGAACTCACTATGTAGCCTTAAAGCTCTGTTTCTCCTGCCTCCATCTCTGGCGTGCTGTGAACCACATCTTATGAGCTGCTGGGGTCCAACCCAGGGCTTCGAGCATGCCACAAGAGCACTCAACCGAGCCACATCTCAGCCTTTTCTCTCACTTTTCTGCACGATTAACATATTAAAATTTCAAGATGCAACTTTGCTGTAAAGTAAAAACCCCAAGTTCAAGGGCAGACCTAACTATTGCAAAGGTGTGCAGACTTCACAAACACCCCTCCCCCAGGGGCCGTCTGTTATTTTGGTTACCTTCCATACCACCAAGAACACCAAAGACAAATGCTCATGCCTCACCACAAGAACAGGTGCACCCTACAGTCTCTGCCCAGGGCTGCGGTGCCACGGCGGCATGGTTTGTGAAGTAACAGCCCCGTCAACCCGGTGCACTCTTCAGAGAACTAGTTCCCTTCCTCGCTCTTTGGAAGTCTCATTAGAGCATTTTCCCTCCCTTGTTTTGGGGGTAACAGCAGGTCCCATTCTTGCTAGACTTCACACACCTCATGCCATATAGGTGTGTACTGAATTCAGTCACCCATGCATGCTGAGGGCTATTGCTGTCAACAAGTCATCATATTTGGGGTAGTGGGAAATGGAAGCCAGGGGTGAGGGTGGGGAGTGGGGTTGACATCTTCACTTGCATCCTGCACAGTTTTTCTTTAAATTCTTAGTGGTGAGGTGAAGACCAACCAACTGGTGACTCAACAAGCACTTCTGAGAAAACAGGGTTCACACACTTAGACCTTCACTTCCCAGGAGAAACAGGCTACCATAAAAAGAAGGACTTAACTCTACAGCTGTACCCCCCGATCCCCGGCTTTCAGACCATCACCCAGGAATTTTACTAATGACCAGTCAGCACAAGATGACAGCAGTTAAGGACTTTCTGGAGGCCCAGGATGGAAGCCAGCAGAAAGAGGCTTCAGGCTGGTCTCGGTTGCCTCTCTGGCCACTGGCATCCTTCTGACTGGGTTTTTTTCCCTGCCTTAAATCCTGCCCTGAGGTGGGTGGGCTGAGCTCTGGGAGCAGCCACGGAGGGCAGGAGAGGCAGTGCTGGAGGCCTCCGGGAAGCACACTTTACTAGTCTTCATAGGCAACTTAGACATGGCGCAGTAGCCTGGTACAGGCCCGCAGCCTATGGCCCACGCCATCTGCTTGTGTAAACAAAGCTTTGACAGATGAGCAACTGGCCTGCTCCTTTACCTCTGTGGTTGCTTTTGCTTACAGGGTCAAAGATAATTATAGTTTGGACTTTTTCTGAGAAAGTGCCAATTCCAGCCTGAACCTTTGTTGTCTAATTGGACAACCCTTAGCTGACACCTATCTATCTAAATTTAAAATAACTAAAACAACAAATCTGTTTCTCATCTGTACACTTCAAGTGTTGGAAAGTCACGTGTGGCCGCTGGCTAACACAGTGGATAGCAGAGAACACATTCCCACCACAGCAGACTACTCTCTTAGACAGAGCTGTAAGTGCAGGATCTAGGTAGGTAGGGCTGCACAAAGTTAAAATATATCCTTTCCACACTTCAACTTTTTGGAAGGGAAAAGTACCACATTAATCACAAGTTTCATACTACTGGGTAGACAGCAGCTATCACACTAACTGGGGCTGCACATCAGATTAGCAGTGGTGTTTACTGACTTGACTGTCCTTCCCCCAGTAGAACACACCTCATGAAGACTAGGTCACTGAGCCTGCTCGTATTCCAAGTTAGGATCAATCTGGTACATGGTACTGACAAACACAAGGTCTGCAAAATGAGTAAGAAGTAAACTCTGGGTGCAAAAACCTGTCATGCAAAAAGCGGCCACTGAATTGAAAAGACAAGGCACTGGGAAAAAATCCATGATGGTAATCTTCTTGCAAAATGTTTTACAAACAGCCACAATTGCCTCTAGAAATTATTTTAAAAACTGCAAACAAAACAACTGGATATGGACTCTGGTCCCACCACTTAAGGGCTGTGGAACCTTGGGCAAGTTATCTTCCGTTTTGGCTGAAAGACCCTCTGCCTTTAAAATGTGTGTGTGTGTGTGTGTGTGTATATAATTTTTTAAAAAATTTTATATGTATGACCATTTTGCCTGTGTGAATGTAAGTGCACCACGTGTGCCTGGTGTCTGTGGAGGCCAAGAGAGGACATCAAGTTGCCTGGAACTGGAGTTAAGGACAGAAATTAGATGCCAAGTGGATGCTGGGAACCCAGGTCCTCTAGAAGAGCTGAGCTAACCCCAAGACCCTCTCTCTCTGCTTTAAAGGGAAGGCTGAGCCAGTCAGGTATCCCTGTGTCCCTCTTCCCAGCACCTGCACACCCAGGGGCCCCCAACCCCCAGAGGGAGAGTTTCCTGTCCTCTGTCTTACTCCAGCAGGGCTCCTTTGAGGAAGGGGCTGTATGTTAGTCATTTTTAAAGATTTTCAGCACTTGGTTTGAAGTAGTTGCTACTCAGAAATTGAACTAAGAATCAGCCCAGTAAATAAGACATATTTTGTTAAACCTCACATTGACGTTTCAGCTTTAAGAAGTCTTTAAAGTAAACAAAGTTCTTTAAGGTTTGAAATTAGAAACTAACCTTGCTGTTTGAGTTAGAAGTTAGTCTTGGGTTGGTACAGATTACCCCTTCTTAAAAACTCAAGTCTCTTTCAGGGTAAGGCACTTCACTAACTCCAATTATACAGCAAACAACCAAGAGGAAAACATCCAAGCAGGCACAAAAAGGTTTTAGAGCTAACTACATGTGACTGGTCCCCACAATTAATGATTCTATTTATAAAATATAAAATCAATTCTACTTCAGAATAAATCAAATTTTTTCTGAATAAATTCATAATTCAAAAAGAAGAACTAGCACATTAGGTATTTAATAAAAACCAGAAGGCTCATCAACCAGAAACCAAAGGACCTTACATGCATAAATACTGACCACTTGCCTGTAATCACATCATTGTGCTAGGCAGCCAGTGGTTTGGATCTAGAACACCCACAGTGCACCTGTCCCCGTCCTCCTGGGCCCTGCAGCTAAGCCCACCGCTCGGAGTCACCGGTGGCCACTGTGGATGCTGACTTCTTCCAGCCTTCTCCAGGGGTTTGCAGAAAGGCTACAGTCGGCTCTGACCGGACGGGCGCCCCTGGGCTGGTGTCCTCCTGGGGCTACCCCAGGACCTGAGAACCCTCGTCAGCGTTCAGTCACAGCGACTTGTTGGTCACCTGCGATCTGCCCCCCCCACCTTCCTCACGGGAGGTTCTGAGCATAAGTCTTTTGTCAGAGCACAGCTGTGCCATGTACCTTGGAGTCATGAGACCCAGCTGCACACCCATGTGCTCTTTCACCCAAATCACGAATCAAAAAATTTACATAACAAATACCTTAAAATATCAAATAAACATGAGCAAGCTTGATAGCAACAGTTTAATAACAACATTGGTGCTTCTAAGGTAATTCCAAACACCGAATATGTACAAACTGTCGAGGCAGGGGAGGCTTAAAACAGCGAGCCACAGACTCGGTGGAAACTTGTTGCCATTTTGGATTTTAGTGGGAACTGGCCACCCCGACCTTGTACGTGCGTCCCTAATATTCCATTAACCCTAGCGCTGACTTAGGCCGTTCCGACACCCGCGAGCGTGCGCTCCTCCCGGGCGCAGGGCGAGCATGGCCTCGGGAAGGAGGCAAGTTGCGGCTGGTCTGCAAACCCGCGGCTCCGCACCTCACTCGGACCGGAAGCCGCGGACAGGTTCCCTAGGCTCAGCCGCCGCCCCTCCCCCACGCGCCCTCCCGGCAGTGACTTCACATCCTTTGACATCAGCACAGAGGAAAGGGGGATGGGAGGGCGGCGGAGCGCAGAATGGACGGCCAGCTTCGAACCCGCGTCGGGCCTCGGCGCCCCTGCCCGGCCCGGAGGGACCCGCAGGCTGCGCCCGAGGCTGCGCACGGCACCCACCGCGCGGCCCGCTGCGCACGGCACCGCGCCGCCCGCACAGCCCGGCCGTGCACCCGCTCACCTCGAATGTGGACGAGGGCCACGGGCGGGAAGGGCCCGTTGGAGCCGGCCGCATCCACCACCATCCCGCTGCCCGCCCTGTTACATGTCAACATCGAGGCTCCCGCGGGAAGGGCGCGCGCTCCTCACGGCGAGAGGCCGGCCTCCATTTTAGTTTTTAAAAAAAGACAAACTGGAGCTCTCCGCAGCTGGAGGGAACTGGCTGCTCGTGACGTCAGCGGCAGCGAGCCCGCGGATTGGCCGGAAGCTGCAACTTAAAATGACACTGAAAAAAACCTGCGAGCGGAAGAGCGTTCGCCCGGCTGTCAGCGGGGCTTCGAGCCGGCGTTCTGCCTCCCGCAGTCCTCACTTCCCGGAACCCGGCCAGGACCCGGACTCGGGGTCGGCCCCGAGCCGCGACCCCACGCACCCGGAAGCACGCGCACGCAGGGTTCCCTGGCCGCGCCCGCACCCGCGGGACTCGGCACCGTCCACCGTGCACTTCCAGGGCCCTGACCTTGTTATTTACAGGACCAGGGGTCAAGTCCAGGGCCTCCTGCCCCTGCGCAAACTCCACCACTTAGCCCTCGTACTTACTTTAACATCTCCGTCTCATGTAATCTGGCAATCCAGTCTTTAAAAAGGAAACGGCTATTTAAATATTGCAAAATTCAGATACCTCAGTTACGACTCGGCTATTTAAACTCTGCAGAATTTAGGTTCATTAGGTGTAACTCTGTTCAACTTCCTCCCCTTCTACCAATAGGGCAAGTTAGGACCTTGTAATCACCACACATGCTTTCTTCCTGAGACCTAGTTTCCACACTCCCTGGAAAAATTAGATTTAAAAATCAACGGAAGATACCCGCTGCTTTGTGACCAATACCAGAAAGTGCTACAAAGAAGATAATTTATTACATGGCTATGGGGATTGAATGAAGGCAGGACGTGAAAGGGGCGCAGGATAAAACAGCCAGACTGGACAAACACTACGCTTTATCTTATGCCCTTTGTCTCTCTGTGTGTGTGTGTGTGTGTGTGTGTGTGTGTGTGTGTGTGTGTGCGTGTGAAGGTCATGGGACAATTGTCAGAGTTACTAATAAGATATTAATATGTTAGATTCCTTAAGGCTTGTTTTCTTTACATTTAAAATGAAGATCTCACACACTTCTGTTACGCTCCTATTCACATTTTAGTCTCTCGATTTCAAAGGTAATGTGAAGGCTATTCTCAGGACACTTCCGAACTGGAGCATTATCAGGATGTTGGCTACTACTAATGCTAAAGGAAACCAAAGAAACTATATAAGAAAAACCTCTTGGGGCTGGAGAGATGGCTCAGCAGTTAAGAGCACTGACTGCTCTTGCAGAGGACCCGGGTTCGATTCCCAGCACTCACACATGGCGGCTACAAACTGTCCTTAACTCCAGTTCCAGGGGAATCTGAAACCCTCTTGTGACCTCCACAGCACTGCACAACATGGGTGCACTCACATATGTGCAGGCAATACACTCATACACATAAAATAAAAATAATAAAATATTTTTTAAAAAAGGAAAAGGAAAAACCTCGGGCAGAACTGAAAAATTATTCATTTTTTTATAAACAACATTTTCCTGAAATTATGCCCTATCTTTTTCTAATTGGTTCCACTCATGAATAAGAGAAATGAACAAAAGCCATTTAACTCCTATACACACCTGACACAGGCTGGTCACATGACTCCTATGGGCCCAGCTCTTGCTATGCTGCAGTGAATGAACGAACCCTACAATTCACAGTGCTTGTTGGATCTCCTCCCCAGGAAGAATACAGATTTTTACCTGAACAAGTTTTAAAGTAAACAAATGGAAAGAAAAGCTAACCTAACCCTCTCTGTAGCACCTCTCTCCCAGAGCTAAAAGATGCTGCATGATGCCATTGCCAAGCAGAAAAATGGCAATGATGGTCTTGCAGGGCTGGGGATGGACCCGGGGTCTCTGGTAAAAATCAATTTAAGCTGGTTGTGGTGGCAAAAAATCAATTAAAAAAACCGAAAAACACAAACTTCTGAACGTTCTCTCAAAAAACCAAAGAAATATAAATACCAAGAGTTACAGATAACAATAAAATTGATTAGAAAAACATTAAGTCCTGAGGTCTGAATGATCCAGTTCATGTAAAAAGAACTACGAATGGTCAATAATTGCATGAAAGAGTATTTCTTAAATCTAATCAGCAATAATTTTTTACATTGTGTGTCTGTGTGCATACAAGCCGACATGCCATGGCACATGTGTAGCATTCTGAGAACAACTTGGAGTCGGTTCTGTCCTTCAACCATATGGATCCCAGGGATGGAACTCAGGTCATCAAGCTTGGTGACAAGTGCCTTTACCTACTAAGCCATCTCACTGATGCAACAATAATTTTTTAAAATGATAACTGCATACAATGGAACCTTGGTAACAAATTTGTAAAGTGCTTTCATCATTTTGGAAAACTTGGCAACATGTATCAAGATGCTTTTCTTGGTAATTTTCCTTCAAGAATCCGTTCTAGAGATGTAATAGCCACAAATGAGTACATCCACAAATATATTTTTAACTGTGCTGAAATATGACACAAATTGATCATCTTAGTCATTTAAAAATGTATTACATCTATCTATTCTATTTATCTATCTATCATCTATCTTTCTATTTATCTGGAGGGGGGTCTGAGCTTTTGCACATGGGCCCACTGGTCATTTGTGTATAGTCTTTGAAGAGATGTCTTTGAAAGTCTTTCATGTATTTAAATCAATTTTTTTGGTTGTTGCTCAAGTGTAAGAATTTTTATGGTCTAGATGGGAATTCCTTATCAGGTAAATGGTTTGGAAGTATTTCCCTCTATTATGTAGGTTGCCTTTTCTGGTGACTGTGTGTCCTTGGATACACTGATGTTTTTGGTTTTGATGCAGTGCAATTTATCTATTTGTACTTTTGTTACCTATATTTTTAATGTTGTGTCCAAAAATCTACTGCCAAATCTGATGCTGGGTGAAATTTCACCTCCAATTTTCTTCAAAGAGTTTTATGGTTTTGGCTCATAGCAGTTAGGATTTTCACCAATTTTGAGTTAATTTCTGTATGTGATGTGAGGTAAGAGTCCACCTTGACTCTTTTGCATGTGGATTTCCAGTTTCCAGAAGTGCTGGTTGAGGTGACTTTTCCTTACTGGACTTCATGACTCCCAGCTCTCTGTTCTAGTCCACTGGTCTATGAGACTGTCTTTAGGAAAATCAGTCTTCATTACAGCTTTGTTGGGAAGCATAAGCCCTCCAACTTTGTTCTTCTTTTTCAAGATTTGGGATTGCCCGAGCTTCCTTATGGATTTTAAGATGAAACATGTACTTCTAGATGTGGGTTTTGATAGGTGCTGCACTAATATCGATTTTTTGGGAAAGTGCTGACATTTTAGCCATCCTAGGACGCCAACCTGAGAGCACAGGTGTCCTTCATTTAATGCTGCCTCTGTCTCTTTCAGGAGTATTTTGTAATTTTCAGTGTATAGGTTCTTCAACTCCTTGATAAGTTTATTTCTAAGAAGTTTATTCTTTTTGAGAATATCACATTTTATTTATGGTTCTAAATATTATAAACAACCTTAATGTCAAGAGGATTATCACACATTGTGAAATTTTATAATCATCCAAAATACACACACACACACGCACACACACCCCAGAAACATAAGTGGAAAAGGCAGTGCATAATTTTTCAGAGATGGCATGAAGAAAAAGAATCAATTCCCAAATGTCAAGGTGGGCACTGCTAAGTGGTGTGATGGTTTGAATGAAAATGTCCCCCATAGGTTCCAAGTAGTTGGACATTTTGTCCCCCACATGGTGGCGCTGTTTTGGTAGGTTTTAGAAGGTGTGGCTATCCTGGAGGAAGCACGTCACTGTGGGTGGGCTTAGAGAGTTCTTAAGCCTTGCAGGATCTCCAGTTGCTCTCTTGCTTCCTGTGCCTGTGTGATGATGTGAGAGCTTAGCTTCTGCTGCTCCTGCTCCAGCCACCATGCCTCCCTGCCATGACGGACCGTAATTCCCCTGAAATTGTAAGCTCAAATAAACTCTTCCTTCTATAAATTGCTTGGGTTGGTGCAATGCCCAGGGAGGTCAGAAGAAGGAGTCCAGTTTCCCTGGAACTGGTATTATGGATGGTTGTTAGCTGCCTGGGAAGAGAACCCAGGTCCTCTGTAAGTGCTCTTAACTGCTGAGCCATCTCTCTAGCCCCCTCTAAGTCACTTTTAAAAAATATTATTTTTATTTTATGTGTAGGAGTATATTGCCCGCATTTATGTCCTGCAATGCCTCTAGAGGTCAGAAGAGGGCGTTGGATTAAATTGGGACTGAAGTTACAGACAGTTGTTAGCCACCATGTGGGTGTTGGGAATTGAATCTCTGCAAGAGCAGTCAGTGCTCTTAATTGCTGAGCTAATTCTCCAGCCCTTCTCAGTCACTTTAAAAAATACTGGTGGGGGGTGGGGAAGATGGCTCAGCAGTTAAGAACACTGATTGTTCTCGCAGAAGACCCGGGTTTGAATCCCAGCATCCACATGGCAGCTAACAACTGTCCATAACTCTAGTTCTAGGGGATCCGACAGACTCTTCTGACCTCCGCGGGCATTGCACGACATGGGTGCACATACCTACATGCAGGCAATACATGCATACACATAAAATAAAAATAGATTAAAAAATTAAAAAAAATACTGGTCTCTTCACTTAATAGTTAACATTTCTACCTTCCAGACCCCAAAATGCCAAATGAAGGGACTGATTTGGAAGAATCTTTCAACGAAGTGGTCTGAAAACTATATTCAACCTGCTAAAAATTTTGAAATATCAGTCTTTTCTACATAGCAAATGACAAAGCTTTTAAATAATCTCAGCACTACAAAGGTACCATGTGAAAGGCATGCCACACACTCTGGATGGGTGCACCTCTGAAGGTGTGTGGACAAAATCTGTGAGGGTTTGGGGGTTACTGTCAGATCTACTGCTTCATTTCTTTGAATTTAGCTTAAAAAAGAGCCAAAGATGTAACAATGACAACAAAAGATTTACAAGAAGTCTATAAATGAGCTTGTTTATAATGGCTGAAAAACTCAGGAACCCACAGGAATAGTAAGCGATGTTTAAAACCTTGTCTCTCTGGGGCTGGAGAGATGGCTCAACTGTTAAGAGCACTGGCTGTACCCGCAGAAGACCTGGGTTTGAATCCCAGCATCCACATAGTGGCTAACAACCATCTGTAACTCCAGTTCTAGGGGATCCAATTCCCTCTTTTGTCCTC